CAACGACAGTAGGATTCCAAACTGAAAATTTAAACAACTGAGAAACAGATTAATTCAATAATTTTAAATACTGATTAACATGCATACAAGATGTATTTAAAACTTAGTTTAATCCCTAGAGTCTTCCTAAACATGCACAGAACACAGATTAAAGGGATATAATAGAGCAGAGACTTGCCTTTGAGACTTTGGATTAAAATCTCTAACAGTCGTCTCTATCAACTCCGGTAATGTCAATTGTTGTTATTAACCTCCGACGCTCCTAGTTAAATTCAGAACTCCTCCTTCAATCCCTCCCTTAATCTCTTAAAGTTCTCTCAATATTTTATCAAATAAAATACACTCGGTTGCTCTCTGTATTCCCTCTGTATTTTATGTACGTGAATATGGCGAATAGGGTTTCCAAAAACCCTTAACAGAGGTATACTTATGTATTTATAAGCTTAAGTTGAAACCCTAAATTAAATCCTAAATCAACTACAAGTCGCCTCAACCCCAAACACGATGAATTTTAAACAAAACCCTAATAATTTAAAATAGTTAATTTGCATTTAAAAACAACGCCACCTAAGCACATAAATAATTAATACAATCCAGTTAATAATAATTAAAAAAACAAACCAAAATACAATTAATAAAACAAATCAAAATACAATTTAACTAACCAATTAAAATAAACAATTAATTCAACAACACAAGCAATTAATTAATTAAACAAATAAAATGCAAGTTAAACAATAAATTTAGTAAAAATACACAAAAATTATTAAAATAAATTTCAGGACTGCCCTTTTAAAATTAGGGGTATTACACATGGCACCCTTAGGACCGTAAGGGACCATCTTTCCTTCTTTATTCTCTCGGTCAAGCTCTTTCTCTAACTTTCCCTTTCTCTCTATATATCTATATATACACACATATACTTCAAGCTTCAAGGCCAAATTATAGGGGTTTAAAGAGAGATTTTAGAGAAAGGCCGACAAGGGAGTTGTAATCTACATAACAAGAGCTTCCATTTGAGACTAACCTTGCACACACTTGGAGGATTTCGAAAATTAAGACTTTGCACAAGGGCTTGTTTGGCTTGCATATTTGAGGTAGAGGTTTTCTTAATGCTTTATACTTTGCTTCTCATTAAGCATGTTGGTTATCTTTATAGGGAAATTGATGTTTTAAATGCAAGATTATAACTTGTTGGTTGACAAAAAGTTAGGGGTGGCAAATTGACGGGTTTTGGCTGGGTTGAAAATGGATGGGTCAAAAATTTGTTGGGTTAACCCGTTATGACACGTGAACCTATTAATTGTTATTTTTTTAACTTTTTTTAAAATTTAAAATTTAAAAATTAAAATTTATTTAATTTTTACTTAATTAATATTTTTTAATTTTTAAAATTTTTTTCCCGGAAGGTTTTAAAATTTTATTTAATAACAAATTAAAAAAAACAATCTCAAACTCAACAATATTTATCGACTCATTTTAGAGAGAAAAGCGAAGGAAATAAAAGAAATTTCTAAAGAGAAAAACTTAGAGAGAGGGAATTGATGAGGGACAAATTTCTAGAGAAAGAGGATCACGAGTGAGAGAATTTTAGAGAGAGAAATGAGTTGAGTGCAATATATAATAGATGTGTGTTGTGTGTTTATTATGTGATGGGTGAAATATTGGTTGAATATGGGTATCCACATCAACCTATCTTGACCCTTAAATTAAGTGGTTAAAAATTACCTAACCCATTTTTAACCCATTTTAAATATGGTTCACCAAAAAGTATTAAAAAACGGGCGGATATGGGCAGGTTGATAGGTTGTGACCCATTTTGTCACCCTATGATAGCTTGATATTATGTTCTAAGTATGCTTACATGAAATGACTAAGTGTTTTTCTATGCTATATGTTAATTGCTAACATAATAGAAATGATGAGGATTGCATAAAAAAAGTGTGTTGTTGTTGTGTGAAGTATAAATGCCATGATTATAGTTGCTTAGTTATCAATGCTATGCTTATAGTTAAATTATGCGAATTGCCATGTCTATAGCTCTTACATTGAGAATGCCATACAAATTCTATTATTGTCTTGTAAATGAGATTGATGGTATGTAAATGAGAAATGATGCATTGCATTGTCTGGCGGGAAGGGAAATGAAAAAGGGTTTGAAAGGAAAGTTTTTGCAAAAAGGAGAAGTTTTTACAAATGAACCAAATTTTGCGAGTCTAGTGCTAACTTGACCTAGAAGGAGTGCGGTTTGATCTAATACGTGAAAAAGTTGATACTAGGCCCCCAATTGGTTGCCGGATTTAGAATCAGAGATAATTATCAATCTCACCTCGGTAAAGTCGGTTAATGATTTTTAGTGTGAGTTTGGGTCGGTAGAGATCAAGGTCGGGGAACATCGTGCATTTCATTTCATTTCATGCACATTGGCATTTGAGTTATGAGATTGCTATTGATAGACTTGTTTTATACTGTAAACGTGTTAAGTACCCTAATGCATGACCCCGATTCTCTTTTATCCTATTATGTGTGGTGTGGTTTAAAGGAGTCCAAAGTTGACGTCTTAGGCGATTTCTACCGAGTCTCCATGCTCACACCTTCCATTAACATTTTTAAGGTCCATGTAAAGAAATTAAAGTAGATTCAAGAACTTGTCGTGGAAGCATTGAAGAAATTAATTTGTTGCACTATAGATTTAGATCTTGTAATCATTTTTGAATATATATTTCAAAGCATGTACTGATTTATATCTCAAATGGTGTAAATGATACCCTTATTGGTTATATGAGTGGTATTTGGCAACATGCACATGAGAAATTTGTAATAATTTTATATTGAAATGGAGCAACGAATGATGTAATCAAACATGATGTTTAGATGTTATATTATCAATGCATGCATGTTTAAGGAACATTTAGGATAGGTTTGTGACTAATTTAAGGTCACCATTGATGCCATGGGGTTACCTAATGCCTTAAGTACCCAAAAAAATGACCATTTTCTAGCCTCTAGGGAATGTCGGCCCGCCGACAGTTCATTTTTCAGCCAAACACAAAGAGTATGCATCGCTGAAACGTTGTTTTGGCTGGCTGACCCTCTAGATTCAACCGGCTGACCCTCTAGATTCAGCCGACTGATACCTCCAACGCACCAGATTTCATGACCTGACTTCAAACGGTCATATCTCATTTATTTATTAACCAAATTGGGTCAAATTTGAATATAAATTCAAGAATTTTGAGTCAGCTTTCCAATAATACTAATTTCATTCCAAAATTCAAACCGTAAAGGAAGTTATGACCATTTTAGTGTCGACTACTCCAAAAACCTTCCAAACCGTAAATGCTTAATTAAGTGAGATAATTGCCTTTGTATTTTGAATCGCACCAAATGAGTTTACGTGGTTGTGATAACTTAAATGTACTCCCCTTGACTCATTTAAAGTTAAGACATTTCTTTCCTTCATTTTGAAATGACCTTATTATATTTGGGCGGTGTTGGGTTGGGTGATGACCCAGATAATGTTTCGGACCCTTCGATTTGAGTTGTTATAATTATTTTTTTGGAAAATTGTATTTTGATGACAAAAATTAAACAAAATCGTGTTTATACTGACCTTCTCATTAAAAGATAAATAGTCACCAAACCTAAAACTTAATTGCAAATAATTGGTTAGCTAAGGTTAATTTGGTCAAAAACACTTGTTGTTTATTAAAATTTGTAAAATTATTTTAAGAGGACTAAATTGCCCCTTTTAACCTTTTATGGAGTCATTCTCTTTTCTCTTTTTTTTCCTTATTAATCCTCCCTTTTAGGGTTTGCAGTGGACTAGAAGAAAAAAGGGCTTCTTTACAAAATTATGGCGTCCAATTATATAAAACTGGGAAAAAAAAATTATGATCTTGGCTTAAAAAAAATAAATTCCACTCCAAAATCAATTGTAGTTCCATAACATGAGAAAGCCAATGAATAGTGAGTGCAACTCTAGAGCATAATTCAGTTATCATAAACAAACATTTTGACAAATTTTTTCTTTCAAAAGAGTATGCATGAATTATTATTTTTAAACATAATTATTGGGAAGGTAATAGAAATATCAATCATCGTGCCTCTATAGTTAGAACCTTGTAGCTATATATATTTGTGTATATATAAAATTTGAATAATGGGAGAGGAGATGAGTGAAATTATAAATTTGTGACTTGTGAGCCGTGTGACTGATCTAATTTGATTGGCTAGTGAACAATGGCAGCCTAGTATGGAGTTTTGCAGCACGCTTAAAAATGGCAGCCTAATTGTGATCATGATCTCTCTGAAACCCTAAAAAGGGGACGAAAAAAGGAAATGATAAATTTGTCAAATTATGAAATATTTTATTATAAAGATATTTATGTAATTTTTTGCCGCATGGTTCCTTATTAGCATTTAAGTTTTAATTTTGGTGATTATTTATTTTTTAATTTATTTTTTGAATTCAGGGTCACTTTAAAGTAATATTGTTTAAGTTTTATTTATCAAAAAGAAAAAAATATTGTTTAAGTTTGGTCACTAAATTTTAATATGTTTTTGGAGGCGGATAGAATTTATAGTTATTAATATTACGTCAGAGCCACAACTTTAGAATCTCACATTTTGTTTTATCTGTTTTATTTTAAAAAACTTTGGGGGTAATGTGCGTGCAGTGGTCCCGCCCCTTTGTCCTCAACACAAAAAAAAAATAAAAAAATTTTGCTAAAAATTTCATGTTCAGATATATAATAATTTTAGGTGTTACCATTTTCTTAGTAAGTTTATTAATTTATATTTCAAATGTTAAAATGTCTTGATTTTGAAAGGTTTTATTTTTTGGTTGGTATGAAATTCTGACAAGTTGGACAGGATTGGGTTTGGTATACTTTAATTACTTGGTTTAATTTTATTGGCTTGACGTACCAGTAGGCTTATGTGCGTACAGCACTCAATAATTTCCCCAGTTGCAGATGGCACTATATAATCGTTCAACTTCCTTAGGTCATGACGCGAGGGAGGCACAGAGAGAGAGAGAACCGCCCACTTCTACCCCATTTTTCTCGCCTCCCCAATCCATTTTTCCCTCCTCTCACAAAAACCCTCCTCTTTCTCTCTCTATACTTTCCCTCCCTTTCTCTTCAATTTCGTCTCCAATCATATTACTTTTTCCTTCCTCACCCCATTTCATTTTCTAGGGTTTCATACAATCGCTTTAAAAAAATGAGTAACAACAACAAAGATCAGTTCGACATGTCCGATCTCGGTTCCAACCTGCCCGCCGCCGCCGCTGGTAATACCAAAACCTAAACCCTAATATCTCTCTGTGTATGATTGTGTGTAATTGAGTTCTTAAATAACTTGTTATATTTTTTATTTTATGTAGCTCTCAGTGCAGAGGATCGTGCTGATCTTGTTAATGCACTAAAGGTTAGTTTTATTTATTTTTTTCGCAATTACATTGATCATTTTATTTTGTCGAGTTATACGACTAATAATGTTTATTCTAAGGTTTTTTTGTTGTTTTGTATTTCCTTATTTTGTTTATTTGTTTGATATATATATATATATTTCCAGAATAAGCTTCAGAATTTGGCCGGGCAGCATTCGGATGTACTCGAGACTTTGACACCGAAGGTCCGGAAGCGTGTTGAGGTTCTGAGAGAGATTCAGGTTTGCTTTCATATCGTATTTTAATATTACTTGAAAACTTTCAATTATGTTTGTTAATTATGTGGTGCTGTTATAAAGCATGCATTTTATTCTGAGCTCCACAATATGATGGCGTGACTGGGTATTCAATGCATAAGAAGTTGCTAAGCATTGGTTAGGTGCAGTTAGTTTTATGAGTTAAGCCCCTCCCCTCGATTCCATCCATTTTATACAATTGTTTGCAATATGCTCATGTACTAAATGTGTTCAAGATGTTGCAGTTGAATGCTACAGAATATGATATATGAGCTCCCTTTATGTTGCAGTCTTTGCACTTAAACATGCGTGCATTCATGTTGTATCATTGGTTTTACTTTCGTATTTTGTTTGCTAGTTTGGGATGTCCATAACCTTAAAGACTATATGTAAAATACTGATATACTGCTTTGCAGATAGTGGGGTTATATAACTTGTTCAGTTATGGTTATCCTTTTGTTCGGTTAGGCTTGGTGAAGTATAATGTGCAAGTATTCAGACCTGGTTCATGTTTGGCTGAACTTGGTCTAGCCAAGTTCAATTTGGCTTGGCACTATGCAACCAAACTCAATTTTCACCTTAGGAAGATTAAGGACTGAAGGAGCCTTTAGTACAAATCAAGATTTGACAATATATATACTATATAGATACACACACACACACACACATATATACCTATGTCACCCACACACTGGATATGCATGCATATACACATAAATAAGGTCTAGATAAAACATGTGAGGAAATCACCAAAGAAAAAGGTTGTCTATAGGCAAAACACAAATTGGAACACAGGATAGCCATTTAAAATTTTAAATTCCATAGTCCTCTTTTGTGAAGATTTTCCAGTCAGTAACATAAAAATAATGAATTGAAATCTAATAGGGTTAGACTTTCCAGGTGTAGATTAATGAAAAGGTTGTATATTTAAAATACGTAATACATATATTTGAAATGAAATTTGAATTTGTATTCTGATTGCTAATCCTCTCTACTTTCTATGAGAAACTCTTGCATTTTAATTATTCAGTGTATTCGTGTTTTGTGGTGTAATAAGCGTACGTCGGGTGTACCATGTTTTAATTACACGCGTACATTCTCTATTTTGTGCACCAAGAATGATACAATTTTCAGTTAACATGTGGGAAAAACACATTCTTGAGCTGCTGAGACAATATTTGACTAACATGTTAAGGGCTTTCATGAGAGCTTTCCTAAGCTAGGAAAAACCTCTATTCACTTCCGGCAACATGTTCTCATAGTTTATACAATGTTTGAGAATGAAAGGTAATTTTCTTGTAATGTGTTGTTTTTGGCAGTTTTTTCCTCTCCATGAAGTTTGAAATTGGGGCACAGGAAATGAATTTGAGAAGCTTCTAATAAAGGAGGAAGTGTTGGCGATAGTTATGAAAATGAACTTTGAAGCAACTTTGTTGTCATATCTATTTTCCATAATTCAAGGAATTGGGACTTGTTCTAAAAATAAAAACTATGAACACCATTTGGTCTCTTAAAACACAATGTGTCTGGTTGCTTTTCTTGAGCATCCTTGCCATTATGCATCGTGGTGTAATCATGTAAGCATCATATTATATACTGTAAAGGTATTGCTGACTTTTCCTATTGCCTCTTCATGGAGATTTTAATTCATTTTCATAAATATCCATTTGTAACAATGATATATTGGGTGTCAATGTGATTCAAGTCCCGTGGGTATCTTGTGTCAATGTGGGACTCTGGTCCACATGGTACCGAACATCTGATATTGAAGTGTTCTGTAAAGCGAGTGGTTTCTTTGGGTATTTGCTGAATTTTGAATTGTAGTGCTGTGTTGTAGTATGATATGTTGTCAACTTGCAGAGCCAACATGATGAGCTAGAGGCAAAATTTTTTGAGGAGAGAGCAGCACTTGAAGCTAAATACCAGAAGCTTTATGAACCTCTATACACAAAGGTGTGGTGTTTGTTGGCAGGCATTAAGTCTTGCGACTTGCATATAGAATCATGATCCTGCTTTTGTTTTGATTTTTTATTTATATTCAGTGCAGATTTCTAATGAGTAAAATATATAATTTTCCGAATTTTTTAGAATTAAAGTGATGGTTATTTCCAAAGAAATTATCTCTTTTGGTTAACTAAAACAATTTCTTGCACATATTGCAGAGATTTGACATTGTGAATGGTGTTGTGGAAGTTGAGGGAGTTACGAATGAAGAAGCTATCACGGGCCAAGAAGAGGATAAAGCCACAGAAGGTGATTAACTTAATTGCGAGCCTTCTGAATTTTTCTCTCTCACCCCTGTTCTCTAATGTATAATATTGTTAATATTTTTGTAAAGTTGATACTGAACTGACATTTATAATGCCAGAGAAAGGTGTGCCTAACTTCTGGATCACTGCAATGAAGACTAATGAAGTATTGGCCGAGGAGGTAAGACCTAGGACAACTGCTATCATTTTTACCATCTATTTGGTTCTAGTGAATTAACAATTGTTTGATGCTATTTGTTTAGATCTCAGAGCGTGATGAAGAGGCTCTCAAGTATCTCAAAGACATCAAATGGTGTAGGATTGATAATCCTAAGGGTTTTAAGCTCGAGTTTTTCTTTGATGCTAATCCTTTCTTTAAGAACTCTGTTCTGGCAAAAACATATCACATGATTGATGATGATGAACCTATTCTGGAGAAAGCAATTGGGTAACTTGATTATCCTTGTTATATGGTAAAATTTTCATTTCCTATTTCACCACAGCTGAGATTCTGTCAATCCCATTGCAGGACAGAGATCGAATGGCATCCAGGTAAATGCTTAACACACAAGATCCTAAAGAAGAAGCCGAAAAAGGGGTCAAAGAATGCGAAACCTATCACTAAAACTGAAAACTGTGAGAGTTTCTTCAATTTCTTTAACCCTCCACAGGTTCCTGAGGATGAGGATGATATTGATGAAGATACTGTAAGTTCAGAAACTCTTATTCTGCTAACATATAGACCACCACTATAAAATGAATTTTTAAGATAATTTCTCTTTCTTACAAATTCTACCATGTATGTACACTAACAGGCTGAAGAACTTCAAAATCAAATGGAACAAGACTATGACATTGGGTGAGACAGATATGTTTTTAGTTATTTATATTCGATCCTAATTATTGAGTTATCAGTGAACTTGTGTGATGCATGAAAAAATGAAAAAAAAAAAGGAAAAAGAAAAAGAAAAGAGCTCATTTTAAGAATAGAATAACAACCTTAATCTTCATGGAATTGAAAAGTTTAATTATACTATTATTTATTTACTACCAGTAAGAGTTTCTTAAATTAACTTGTACTTGCAAACCTCCCGAAGTACTCAAAATTAATTTCAAATGTTAAATTCTAATTATAAGTCCCCCCCCCCCCCCCCCCCTCCCCCCGCGCGCGCGCGCGCGCTCTCTCGTTATGTAAGTACTCACACATTTATCAAACTGCCCGCTAAGGGCCTCGAACCCCTTACCACCTCCCTTTTGAGGGAGGAGTTTTTACCATTGGGCTAATGGCCCGTTGGTAATTCAGATGCTAAGTTAACTGCAGAGCAGAAACCAAGTAACACCGGTTGTGGCAGTCGTCATAACTTTTCCTCTTCCTTGGCTTTAGCCTTTAGTTGTTTGGGTTGTGAATTCCTCTGTTAGATGACAAGAATATCCGTAGTATTCAAACTCAAGAACTTGTCAATAGATTTTCTTGTTGAAGCATAACAACAATCTAGGTATTATCTGATTGATTCACATCTTTGTATGGATGTACTTGAATAATTATATATGACAGCATGATATGAAGAACCAAGCTCATTAACATTGTAAATTCTACAAAATATCTGGTTTTGACAGGATTATTCATCCATGGCTTATCTCATTATGATTTGATACTCAACAAATTATGGACCTCTTCTTATACGTGGGTTTTTGCTCTTTAACTCTTTTGAATATGATGTTGGTCTTCTAATTGAACATACAACACATTAAAAAAAGATCATTGTGGCTATTATAAAAACATTTATATACACTCTCAAGGAGTTCATTTTGAGTATTTAATTTTAATTAATAAAGAGGCATGCAATGTTAAAATTTAACTTGGTGAATCCTGACACAAACAAAAGTAACTGTATGACTTTTGAAACATCAAAAGCTATATCAAAACCCAAATTAATACCAAGTGAAATCCATACTTTCTTTTTCCCCTTTCTTTGTGCTATGCAATCAAAAATCATACCTGCATTCAATAGAGCATAACCTAGATTGAGAGTTTCTTTCTCCATCGCAATATGTGGAAAAAAGAGGAGCCTTTTTTCCATTCAGTCGTGGTCGTGATCTGTGATAGTTTTGAAGGGTTTGTGTTATATATGGTATTATCTTATATCTCACATACGTGTATATGTATGGTGAGGTTTCCCAAACAGGACTTCTTTTTTGGGACAGAGGGAGTATTATTGATTTTGCTATATTATTTTATATAGATTATTTTTATCTTATCATTTATAGAGGGGTTTAATTTTTTTTTTTTAGTTTCTATTCTTTTGGCATTTTATAATAGGCAAAAAACTTTTCAAAGGGGAAGTCCCATGTAGGAGATTTAGAGGATGATGGTTATGGCTTCCCTTTAAATATAAATACATATACATAATTTGTGTGTAAGATTTGATTACAAATTTTTACTAAGAAGCAGGAGGTAAGAGTAAGTGATACATAATACCAATTGTGTTGTATTAGATTATACAGAAGATTGTGGTGTTTGTTGTGAATTTTCTCTTATTTGTTTTTAGTTGTTTGGGAGTTCGGATACTTGGAAATAAAATTAATTTCATCGTTTTCTAATCCTCGCTACATGCTGCTAAACATGGGAGGGACACTCCTTGCTACATGCTGCTAAACAATGTGTTGCTGTCCTGCTTTATGCAGTTCAACCATTCGGGACAAAATTATTCCTCATGCTGTTTCGTGGTTTACGGGGGAGGCTGTTCAGGGAGATGAGTTTGAAGATATAGATGATGATGATGACGAGGACGATGATGGTGATGAAGACGAAGATGAAGACGAAGAATTTGAGGATGATGACGAGGAGGATGATGAAGATGAAGAGGAGAGCAAGAGTAAGAAGAAGGTAAAGATAAAAAATTGAAAAAACCAAAATTCAAACCTCTCCTGGTGCTCTTATCTTGAATTTGAAAACTAGGCTTTTTTATTTTTGAAGATACTAACTAATACTTTGTTTTTCTGGGTAATTTGATCCAAATGTTCTAGCCTTCATCTGGGCGGAAGGTAAGATAATCTAATTATGTTATGTTTATTCCCTCTGGGAAATGTGAATAACCCTCTCAGTGGTCTTGTGCTTTAGCTGACGTTGTTGGTTTTGTGAACTGCAGAAGGGTGGCAAAACACAAGCTGGGGAAGGTCCGCAAGGTGAGCGTCCTCCAGAGTGCAAGCAACAATAGTGTTAGGTTGCAGGCAACGGCATATGGTTACCTGGTTGTGACCACTGGTGGTGTTGGTATTGCGGGTTTGAGAGTTTTGGGGGTCTGCTTCTCTCCTTGTCTGTTGAAATTGTCTTGCCTTCTATTTTGTTCTCCTCTTAAGAGTGTTCTACAGTTCTGGTCTCTCAGCTTTTCTAGGGTTCCCATGTTGTGAATGTTCAAAGAAACTATTTAATTTTTATTATATCTCAATGCTTATCAGTAATTTCTTTCCTGATTCTATTAATTTCTTCTTATTTGTGTATTTTTTACAAGAATCAAAGCTTGTTTTATTCATTTTTTTGCAGTCTAACAGCTCTTTATGTCATAAGAACTTTTTTTTTTTTTTTTTTGTTTTGCAGTCGGAGTTCTTTGATTTCCTTATTTATTTATTTTTCCCCATTTTTCTTTTGGCAATTAAGGTTCAATTAAGCGAAAAATATTTACAATATCAAAGGGCCATGAAAGAAGCGGCTCCGCAAACCGATCAAAATGGTATACTCGAGCCATATGCAATTATCCACAGGCCTCTAAAGGTTGAGTCTCTTCGGGACAAATGGGTAAAGAACCCTATATATTATTGTGGCAATTCGTGTTGGCGTGTTGTATTCATGTTGACATGATTACAACACGAACATGAACACGATTAGGGTTGACACAAAAACGACACAAATATTTAATCATGTCTAAGACGTTTGACTCAAACACGACACGTTTATTGCATGTGTAATACGGATCAAGACTTGACATGACAAGATACCAACAAAACATGTTCAAGTCATTTTTGACAAGAATACGATATTTTTATTATACACATTTAGCTAAATGGGTCATTTTTTATACAAACATAACACGTTTAGTTAATCGGGTTAGTTGTATTTATATGGTCAAACACGAACACGACACGTTTAGTTAGCGGATAAATTCGTATTAACACGACTATGACACGAACAGGATTAGTCCAAATCCAAACTCTTTTATCTCGTGTTAGTGTGTTATGTCAAATATTGCCATCCCTACTATATATAACTAGTACTATAATGCTAAATTTGGTGTGCAGGAATGAAATGCAAGTGGGAATGGTCCAACCATCCACTAAAATAATTATTATTGAAATGTGTAGGAATGAAATGATAATAATTATTTTAGTGTTTGATTGGACCAATTTAAAATTTAGAATGAAATAAATTTTAAATTGAGTTTTTCAAAATATCCCTTAGTAACAAATAAATTAAATTAATAAAATGACATTATTCTATAATTTTTTAAAAATAAATGGTGACAGTGACGGTGGAAAGCGATAGTGGTGTTGGAAGGCGACGGTGGTGGAAGGTGGTGGCGGGTGTTGGTGGAAGGCGATGACGATGGCGGTGGTGATAGAAGGCGATCATTTTATAGTGCTGGTTTTTGGACTTGGAATATAAGTGTTTTTTGGAAAGTTGATTTTTTTAAAAATTTTACTTATGGAATGCAATTGTTATTCTTTACGTTTAGTTGTGGAATGAATTTTCATTTCAAGGAATGAATTTTCGTTCAAATGGAATGACCATTATTACTTTAAATTACATACCAAACAAAGAAATGGTTGAAATGAGCATTTCATTTCATTCCTGGACACCAAAATAACATAAGAGCAGAAATATCAAATTATTCAAAACTAGAACTATAAGAGCAGAAATATCAAATTATACAAGCAATAAATGTTTTATGTTATAAATGTTTAGTTTATTATGAAAGAACTAAATGTATTTCATTTTTTCAGTAAGGGCTTGCCGGTGATCTTGTTTGATCACGCTAGTAAGTTTTGAGAATGAGCTCGGAGAACTTTGCTCCTATAAAAATTGGATCACCAATTATAGAAGGCAAGAAGTACAATTACACTACATAGAAGCAAGAAGTAGAAGGCTAGGGTCTCACACTCTTAGTGGACTAACTGTTTATTTATAACATAATAAGGTCATCATCATATCTCGCTAGTAAGATCTTCTTACACCGTAAAAATTCTAGCAATCGCCATAAAATAGGAGACTCTCTTCCTCAACTGATTTGAGCTTTCTTCATGCTCCAAGCACTCAACTTTGAGATTGTGACACCCTGAGTTCCATTATTGAAGGCATACAAGTGGGCCCCACCTTCAATAGCCAAGGTGGGATAAACCCTAGAAGAAATGCACACCTTTCCATCCCCGCCAAAGCTCTCTACTATAGAGTGATCTATCTGCAAAAATGTTTTAGAACACACCACTTATAAACTTATAATGGTGGAAAGAGTGTGTGACCATGCTGGAATTGGGTAGAAGCTTGTGAATGCCCAGCCCAACATGGTTGTAATCATGATTCGCACATTAATATGGTCAGGCATGGACCCATTTGTTGCTGATTTATTTATTTTTAATTTCAAAACTAAATGGCAAAGAACAACAATAGGGACAATCTTGATTATAGTTTTTATTTATTTATATTTATTTTTTAATTCATCTCATTGACTTGAAATTGAAATTGATCAAAATATTTAGAACAATTTTGATCTATTTATTTTTCTTAAAATAATTCTAAAAACTCGAAAAGCATAAAAGAGAAATATAAAAATACTGATATCTCAATTTTAAATGAAATTTTTAAAAAAGTTCAGAAATAAAATTTTGGACCTTCTTGATGTAGTTCTTCAAATACAATTTTAATCTAGAGATCAGAAAATTACTTTCAGCGAACTACTAATGACAATTTTTTGAAAGCAATCTTTTTTCATTTCCAAAAACTATCGACTACGGAGTATTTGATTTTCAAATCTCAAAAAAATTAAAAAACCTGAACCAAAAAGACTTTTTCATGTTTTATTTATTTATTTATTTCCAAATTTGTTGCAACTAGGAATGTTTTATTTTTTTGGGATGCTAAGATATTACCATCTTCATAATATTGTAATCATCATCTAAAAGACCAAAAGTTAATGAAGTTGGCGACAGAATAGTGGTGGTCCACATAGAATAGTGAGATTCAAGTGGGCTTACTTTTTCGTCCTGTTGTTCATGCCCTTGGACATTAAAAAGTTAAAATAGATCCTAATTTTTGGTCCTTTAATAGTTAGTTCAAAAATCTTCCCCCACTGGGAAGGTTCTTTTGTTGATTTTATAAGTGTTTAGGAAAAGGATGACAAGAACAAGATTTTTTGGCTAGAAATCGACGGTTGAACTATAACAAGTGAAAATTGTTAAATCAAATTAGTAACTGGATCCCATCTAAGAATCACGAGAAAAGTTTTTTTTTTTTTTTTTTTGAGTAAAATACTCACATACGTTTACAAATGTTTACTCTAAGATTCGAACTACTCACCTCTTTTAAGAGAGTAGATGTTAATTATGTTATTCCACCTCAACCGAAGACTGCATTAAATAAAACTTACCAAGCTTCTTAGTGATAATTTCTCTTTAATAGGATCAACATCCACAAATGTTCCATAAGTGGTCTTGTCAGGGTTCTTATTGAGTGAAGACCTGTAAATGGTGAAGGTTAAAACTTCTGAAAGTAGGTAAAAACATAAGAGAGAGAGAGAGAGAGAGAGAGACCTGCTTTGGTCACTACACATGAGCACAACATATTTATTTTGGCCTTTGAAGATTCTAAAAAACACTGCTGTATATTCTTGCAAGTGGTTTGAAGCCAGAACAAGCAACCCAAATGGTCCAAGCCCACCTTTAACTGATGCACCCTTTTGGCTACATAAAAGTTGTGGGTTAGTCCAACTTGGGTCCATCACATCTGCCTTATTAAACTCTGATACTCTAAATGATATCTCTACATCTGCCTGCCAATGAACATAAAAGAATATATATATTAGGGACTTGTAATTGAACTATGATTGATTTATATTCGGTAATGATGTCACGTGGCAAAAATCCATTACTCAATCATATCCAAATAAACTCACCTGTGCAGCTGTGACACCTGAAATTTCATGTACTGATCCTCCTTTAAGGTCAGTGCTAGGTGAGTCAACTCGGTTTGTGCGTAGCTTTTCAATCTCAACAATTGGCCATTGCACCAATTGTTTTCCTGATTTACTCAGCCAAACGCTCCTTGGAATTGCCTGCAAAACAAACCTATTATGAGCATTTCTCATTCATTCAGTTAATTCCTGATAAAGCTTGTCAAATTTTCTAAGGATAAGTTATTCATAACAAGAATTACTTGAACTCCAGCCCATCCCTGTTTGACATAATCGGCTTCAGACAACGATTCGTTAATCCAACCCCACAATACCCTTCGATTCTTAGCATTGTCGTAGAATGTTTTCGAAGCATAGAACTTTCCATAATCATATCTTAAGCCAGAATCGCCATCCACGGATCCACTATCCGGGATATATCTATCCATGGCAAGGTTATACGTTCCAATCGTGTAATAGTCGTGTTTGGTATCATCCAGGCTCAGTTTAAGCACATGTTTGATGCCCAAACCAACCATAGACGTGTCCAGACCACTTTGATTGCTAGTAGAAACTGGAAAAAAATCAGGGCACTCCCACATTCCAGTGCCTTTAGCCGAATGAAGGGGGTGTTTGGCTTTAACCCAATTAATAAAATCCTTACTCCTATATAGAATAGCTAGTCCCCGGCGATCTCTTTTGCTTCCAATGATCACTCTCCACCTCCCATCAGGGCCTAACCAAGCAGTGGTTGGGTCTCTGAATGAGCTTGCATTGATTTTGTTCATGCTTGTTGGTTCCATTAGTGGATTCTTGGGTGACTTTTCCCATTCTACAAGGAATGGGTCAGACATGTTTTTGGGCACGGCTATGTTTTGGACTTGTTGGCTCTTGGGGTCTACACCGGTGTAGAGAAACACCGGTTTTTCCCCGGGAAGTATGGTGGCAGACCCGGACCAGCAACCGTTGATATCGGCTTGATGGGACGGGTAGATGGCAGGATCATGGGGAATCCAGTTGACAAGATCTTCGGATGTTGAATGTGCCCATACTATGTTACCCCAAGCTGCACCAAATGGGTTGTACTGGTAGAAAAAATGGTAAAGTCCCTTATAAATCATGGGTCCTGCAACAAATATTAAAAATAAATCAAAGTGTTATTATATGAAGTCAGTGACTAATACATTTGTACATGTAAAATATGCGCATTGGTATCTTAATTTGTGTCCAAATAATTCCACTATTTAAACCGTGCATATTCTTGCATTTAGAGTTGTTAATCTGAGTTGAGATTAAAATTAATAAGTTCAAAGAAGGAGCTCACCATTAGGATCTGTGAGTTTAAAGACGGACATTTGTCCATTTCGCGACGAGAGCAATTCAAAATACATAAACAAGAAAAAAGATGTATTATGTTAGCTAGAGAAGAACAAGAATAGCATTATACATATATATATATAGTAATTGGTTTTGTATTCGAATTCAAAGAGAAGTTGAGAGGAAAAAAAATACCATTCATCCAGTTCTTGGGAGGTTGGAAGTGATAAGAAGTTCTGTAAGTTTGATTAGGTGAAGGTGGTTGAAGACTCTCAAGGTTGGTGTTGAGAATGTGGGAGGCTTCAAGTTGAAGAACACCATGACCAACCAAGAGAGAGAAGAAAGAAATTAGCCAAACACAGGAGGTAGCCATGGTTGACTCTGGGATTAATGAGCCAGAAGGCAAGGGTATGGTGGCCTATTTATAGAGACATATTTGAGTGATGGGGAAGATATATAGAGAAGTCCCCACAATGCATGTGATATTTGAAAATAATGTAATACACATTCACCATTCTCAATCTTTTGACTTCATTTGTTCAACATTATCAAATGAGGGCTGCTAACACAGTTGTTTTTCATAGTCACTTTTATACATATACAACTTTAAAATTCTAGAACTGCCTTTTCAAAAAATTTATATTTTCATTTTTGTTGTATAAAAATTTAAAATTCTAACACTACCTCCAATTTTTAATCTTTAGCCTCTAATTTAATCTCTTTCTTTTTTCTATATTTAATTCTCTCTTTTCCTATTTTATGCGGCTCTCTTTTCTTATGCTATGTGGCTCTCTTCAGAAGATAAAAGGAAGGAAAAAACTTCATTGGTTTGGCAGAGATAAGATCAGGAGAGAAAAGATAATAGGACGGATGAGTCATCTTTCATTCCTTACAAAATTTTCCTTCCAAATATGGACTAAAGAGAAGAGGGAATTAGACTATTATAAAAGTTTTAAATTACAATACTACCTTTCATAAATATTACTAGTTCAATTAAATACAATAAATAGTGATGGATATAATGATAAAACATTTAATATTCTTTTTACTCTTTTCTCATAACAAACAAAAAGGGTGAATAATATAAATAGTGATGGATATAATGATAAAGTTGTAACTCTCTTTCATTCTCTTTCATCTAATCGAATAAAAAGAGTGAATAATATAATCTTTCCCGTTGAGATGTCTCATTCATCAATTTTCTCTTATTTTCATATAACCTTTTTTTTCTTCCTACACAATGAAATATTAATGATAAAATCAGTCTCCAAGAAGGTAGAAATCTAAATAAAATACCTTTATATGCTTAACTTTTATTTTATATATATATGGAAGTCATGAATATACAACCCTTGTAGTGTGTGTTTAAAAGGGTAAAATTTTCTTCACGCAAATTAATCTCGAGTTTAAAGTTTAAACTCTAAATGGTACAGAAAAAAAAAGCCCTAAAACAAGGAAGTCCCACAATATCTTTTTGTTGAGTGAGACAAAACTTAAATCGTGGCCGTAGTTCGGTCATGTTTCATATGATGGGTTATGCAACATGCTTGGACTTGTGTTCTTTTTTCACCATTTCATATATTCATTGAGCTTCAAAATTAAAGGTCAGAGGACAAACTCAGCACTCACAAAGCCATTATTACACTTGGTTCATGCTCTGCATACCTAGGATTTTTACACATAGTTCCATTATTGAAGGCACTGAAGTGAAGTGGGCTTCAAAATTAAAGGCCGAAGGACAAACTCAGCACTCACAAAGCCTTTCCCTTAATTCCCACCATTATAGACTCATCTATCTGCAAATTGTATGGATCTCAGATGCTTTAAATATAAAGTAAAGAGGTGAAACAAAACTATGTAAAATGGAGGACTGACTCTTTTAGAGAGAAGCATGTACACCCAAATTTATCCCAAACCTAAAATCATTTGCATGTGGTCCCTGTTGTGTTGTCAATTTTGTTGTTATATAGGTGTAAATGTACATTCATGATTCACTATTGATTGTGGTAGGTGCAGTTCTGACTCATTGAAAATGTAAATATTGAAATTATAACTTCTCTAATAATAAGTAAGTTTTAAGATTAGAATGTAGTAAACACGGTATTTGTTCAAACCTTGATAGGGAACATATCAGAGGATATATGTATTGAAGTTACATCTTCTCTAATAATTTAAGTTACATTAGAGAAATATTCTTTGTTAAAAGGTAAGGGTTTCAATTCGAGTGTTATATGTGTATTCTGCTATATAAATCAACAAGAACTTAAATTTATTATTCGCATAAAAGAACGTACTTTAATACAACCATAACACAAATATTAAAAGGGTATCACTTGCATAACCTGTTTAAGGGCTTGTTTGGCATAATTTTTACGCTGAAGAAAAAAGAGAAGTACAAGTTATTACTTCTATTTGGCTTATGTGTTGGTGTTTGAAAACTGTATTTTAAAAGAGTTTCTAATGCTTGACGAATTTTTTAATCGATTTGGCAAAACATTTGCTGAAACTCTTCTACTACTGAAATAATTATTTAATATTTTTAAGTAGAATATGTTTTTGGAGGGTCTCACAACATAAGACAGTTTAATCATTCAATGTAATCAATTTTATTCATAACAAGTCATATACAACATAATAATAATAATAATAATAATAATAATAATAATAATAATAATAGAGAGATTGCAAAAAACTATTTAGCCATTTAGATAATTTGAGAGAGAGAGAGAGAGAGAGAGAGAGTCGTTGCTTTGTAAGTTTAATTTGGTGAAGCTGGTTGAAGTCTAAAAAATTCTGTAAACACTGACATAAACAATTAATGTCAGCAAGAATGAGTGAAATGAAGCATCAGCCAAACGCAAGACCTAGGCCATGCATGATTGATTGTCATGAGTATGGGGATCGAAGGTAGAGGGGTATGGGGGTCTATTTATGTGAAGACCTTTGAGTGATGGGAGAAGATAATTAATAGCCCCATAATGTGTAATCTTCGAAAAGATTGGGCCACAGAAAGAAAAACTACAAGACCACCAAAGTTCCTAATTCCTATCACAGAACCTTCATGGAAGGCAGGAGAATTAGTTGAATAATTTTACAACAATTTAAATCATCAATAGTCAATTTTGTAATTTTATTTATTATTTTTTTGGTAAGGTAAAAAAAGAAAAAGAAAAAGTCAATAGTCAAATTCATTACTGTTGTTTGGTTTGCATGATTATAACATGATTTGTGACAAGAAGAGAATCAAGTAGTCCACATTCACCATCCCTCAACCCCCTTTTTTTTCTTTCATTTTTTTTTTTTTTTTTTTTTTTCCAAATATTTAACCATGTTTTGATATTCTGTTGAGTTTTATGGTTGGCATGATTATAACATGATTTGTGACAAGAAGAGAATAAAGTAGTCCACATTCACCATCCCTCAAACTTTTTTTTTTTTCCAATATTTCTTTAAAAAAAAAATAATTACAAGGGAAATTAGTCAAAGCCAACAAGCTTCAATTTACCTAAGCATATCTTGATATTCTGTTGAGTTTTATGGTTTCCATGATTATAACATGATTCGTGACAAGAAGAGAAGAAAGATGTCCACATTCACCATGATCAAAACACATGCAGTCACTTTTTTAGAAATTAATTCTCCATGTGAAGACAGAGAGAGAAATGGCTGATCTTTGAATAAGAAGAAGAGTGAATCCTCATGCTACTAAATGAATTAATTAGCTTATTCGAAAATGGCCAATTCATATAGACAATATTAGGGGTATCCGACAATAGGATCTGTTGAATGGCGAATCAGATCGAATTGGATTCACAGATTGAAGTTTTTCTTAAATAGTTCAATATTATTTATTTTTTTAACCATGATCCAATAGATAAAATTTTAATTTATAGCCATTAATTTATATATTTAAATGATCATTAACTAATATATTCTTAGAGTCCATTAAATAATCAGATATAATAACAAATACATATACAAATACATTATTTGAAAATATATATATATATATAATAGATCAGATCGAATTTTTAACAGCCCAATCCGTGAGCTACGGATTCGTTTTTTTTGAATCCACTACTGATCCGTGGGTGTAGTAATCCGATCAGATTCGCATTGATCGCATTGAATTCGTGGATTCATATATTATTTGCCCACCCCTGGACAATATTTCAATCCATTAATTTTTATTGCTTGTTATGCTGGGTGTTAGAAGAGCAAGATTGGAGACAGCCGACAGGCCTTACATTTTGTATATTCAGCGCAAAGTGGTTGACCTTAAATTTTAATTATCATTTGCATCCTTGTATTTAATAAATACAGAGTTTTGAAAGAAAAAAAAATAAGGGCCCTGTTTTGAATGTGTTATGGTATTGTTTTTTTTTATATTGGTCTTTACATTTGGGCTCATATCACTGTTGATATTGGTTTGAAATAGTTCATAATATATCATATTTTTTTGCCAAACCCATACCGGCCATCAAATTGGTGATATTGTGTGTTTTGGTACTGTAGCGAAGGAACTAAAGTAAATTTTCGAATTTCTCAAAACAAATTTTCATTACCAAACATGGTTTCGATTTCTACCCAAAACATTCCTACAACAAAACGGTTTGTTTTGGTATTGACCAACAATATAACACCTAAAACCTATCACATGCCAAACAGGCATAAGAAAACAACAATTGTAGTACTTACTGGAATTACAAAATTTTGTCTGGTGGTGATATTGTGTGTTTTGGTACTGTAGCGGATGAACTAAAACAAATTTTAGAATTTTTTAAAATAAATTTTCGTTACCGAATATGATTTCGATTTCAACCCAAAATACTCCTACAATGCTAAAGAAAACAACAATTGTAATACTTATTGGAATTACAAAATTTTGGCCTAAGTCAAAATCAGGAAAGGGATGAATTTGATCCACCAATATACTGTAACACCTTATCTAGTATTGTTGAAGTGTCTCTCTCCCTGGACTAAAATCATCTCCGGCGCAACAGTAAATCTGTTGCAGTCGGTGCGCAATATATAAACAGTAAAACGCGTAAAATGTAATGGAAAGTAAAAATCATATAGTATATATATTTGGAGACTGCCTGTTATAGATACTACCTGCTATATTATACGTATGGGCAATAACAAGAAAAGGGGGCAAAATTTGAGTTGCATTTCAATTTCAAAAAGGCCGGCGATTTTTTTTCATTTTTTGATCTTCTTTGCCTGAATGTTTAGTTGCTTTCTGTCTATCTGTCTCTCTCTCTCTCTCCCACAATCCCAATAGAAAAGTGATCACAGAGTATATTGTGATTCAATTTTTTCTCATCACAAAATACGAGGCTAACTTGTGAACTGGTTGAGGGGGTTCGTTTGGATCTGAAGCATAGTTGAGGAATGTTGTAAAGATGATCCATTTTTTTCTCTTTACAAAGTAGAAGCTAAACTTGTGGACTTGTTGATTCTCTTCTTTGGAAGTGAAGGCAAAGTTGAGGAATTTGGTAAAGACTTTAAAGCAACACATTCTCTACAACTGACTAATATTGGATATGTTTTTTATTTTTAATTTTTGGAGTCTATTCAATGATCTATCTGTTATTTTTCCCTAATAAAAGTTGGGTATAATATTTGCGATCGACTATTGATTCTAAATACTTGTATGAATTGATACAGTGAAATAAAGTAAAATATAGGATTTTGTATATATGTATCATTGGGTAGGCATGTTAGAACAGAGTTGGGACGTCGAAGTATTGGAAATAGGGATTCATTACATTAACACGTTGGGATATGCACTCAATATACTTTTTTGGATTATTCAGTTCAAATTAGTTCTTTTTTTTGCTTTGTATAGTTATAAATGTTAGATTTTTTTTGAAGAGATACGTGTATCAATTTATATGTTGAAATATAAATTTCATTACTCAGGAAAGTTAGAACAGAGTTGGGATGTTGTAGTGTTAGAGATTGGGATTATTCATATTGACATGTTGGGACGTGCACTTAAAACACATTTTGGGAATATTCAATTCAAATCAATTATTCCCTTTTTTGCATTGTATAATGAAAAATGTTATAATTTATTTGAAGAGATAGGTGTATGAATTCATATGTTGATACGAATTTAAAAAAAAAAAAAAATTATTTAATTTGATCACAGCATCACAGTAACTAGTTCATTGCAACAATACTTTCAGTTAGGTGTGTATGAAGGTTTTCAAGTATGATCCATTTTCATCATATCACAACTGTTAATGACATATTAATTTGGGATACACGTCACCAAAATATTCGTACCTTGCATCCCAAAATTTTCCTACTATGAATCCCAACTTTGTCCTACCTTGTATTCCAACGTTTTCCAGTCATAAATATTCTCAACCACTATGATAATTCATACATCACTAGTTAAAGAGTTTGAAAATATTTTGATTGACCTGGATGAAGAGTTTGAAAATATTTTGATTGACCCGGACCTTAAATCGGATTCATGATTATTCGGACTCTGGGGATGATGACTTCGAAATTCCACTGCCAAGGTCTCGTTCGAAAAAGTAATTGGTAAGTATGGTGTAGTTTTAAATTTTTATACTTTTTATGTGTGTAGTGTTCAATATTTTAATTTAGTCTCAGATATGCATTATTGACAATGTGTAAGGTTAATTAGTTGGGATGTTGTAAAGGAACACATGTGATACATGTAATGTATAATTTGGGATGTTACTCATACGTAGAATAGTCTTTCACCTATATACATATATACTGCACACATATATATATACTGCCATTATGACCGTTTGTAAACTTTGTTACTGTTGAAAACACCTGTACGTCAAAATCCCTTATATATAGGTACAAATTGATCTCTTTTTACATACCAACTTCTATATTCCTTAGTCTTCTATATATATGTGTCTTCTATGGCTTCATCAACCAACAGTGGTGGTTATCCAAGAATTGTAAGTGCAAGTCTCTATTGCAACAAAAAACATGCCTATCCATTGTTTTCGTCCATTATTTATACATATTTGTTATATATTTTTTCACTATGCATTTGAATACCTTTTTCAGGTTACTTCTGTTGAGTTTAGAGACCTAAGGTATGCAATTAAATATTGTGGGTGTGGAGAAAAAACAGGCGTTAGAATTATAGATAAAGGGAAGAACACAGGGAAACTCTATTATGTATGTCATCATCCACAAAAAAGTATGCGGCTTTTGGGAGCGGTGCTACCCCATTTCATTTAATATCACTGAAATGGTAACTCGACCACAGCACCCACCATTTGATGAAGGAATGACAGGGTACAATAATTTGGTGGAAGATGTTGATAAAATTAAATATGAAACTGGACAACTTGCATCAACTATAAGAGTAATTGAAGCAACACATGAATTTGTGAAGCTACTAGCTAGGGTAACACTTTTTATGAGTGTTTTAGCTTTTCTAGTATCTCTATTTGCTTTATTTAAACTTTAGGTGATGTGAGGTTAATTTGCGTGTTATGCGACTATGCCAAAATATTTGTATTCAGAATACTTTTGTAGTCAATATTAATGAAATTTAGTTGAATGATGTGTAATATAGTAAAAAAACAGAGCATGCTATCATCTCGTCTGATATGTCAAGCAAGAGTCACTTTTAATTCATACGACGTCCAGCACAAAAAAATTTAAAGTGCTTATCATTGGTAACATCTCCACTACACAAAATAATATGTCCCATACTCATTACAAATTGCTACATGTATAATATAAGCCAAATAAGAGAAACGCTTCATTCAAAAGACATCCACCAAAAAAACAAAATAGAAGTTTAGAACTAGTAAATAGGTACATCGTTCGTAACGTCTCCATTACACAAAGCAACATGTCACGCTTCCTTCAATATACATCCAACACAGCAAAAATTAAAGTTCACATTTACCAAAATCACCACCATAAATAACACTAACTAGTACAAGAACATAGGAGTCGCTTGAGCATGAAAACCTGAAAATGTTAGGAACAGAACTTGGTAAATGCTCAGAAAAAGTTATCAGCACGCAGTAAGTTAAAAGTAGGAAAAATTCTGGACTGCAAGGCAACCAACTCTGTCAAATTATGCAAGTGCCATTCTGTACAATTCTGTTTGTCTTTCGTTTAGTGAATTATCCAACAGTTTCAGCAGAAACTCCGAACGCATTAACTCTGGCTTTTTCTGCATCATTAATTAAATGGGTATCATTATTTGTTTAATATTCTGACATTTAGGTGGTCAAAAAATATTAAAAATACCCCTATGAATAATCATACTCTATAGTATATATAGAAAGATACATATTTTGATAGAATTAAAGTAAACAATATTAGAGTATTAAAATACCCTATGTATAATCATACTCTATAGGATATTCATATTACATTAAACTCACTTTCAACTTCTTGGATAATTTTTTGCCATCCCATAATTCCATGAACTTCATTACGAATATGCCACAAGATGTCCTAATATTTTCACAAAATTAAAAATATCTACTTAAGTAATAATAGTAAGATGCTGTGAATACTATATAAATATTTAAATCTCTACTTCTTGTGTAATTTACTATACACACGCATCAGTTTGTTTCGGGATTTTTAGAGGGATCCTCACTAAGTATTTTGACCACTCTTTGCCACAAGCAACCTCCAGGAGCTCTTTCTGTCATACAAACATAATCATTCGTAAGTATATTATATAACTATAAATAAATGATAAATCTAACTCAAATATGAATAGGCGTTTACCACACATAAGGCATATTGCTTATATATGTGGGGTGTTCCTTTTGAACAAATGTAATCAATTGTCTTCTCCGGATGGTTTACCACCAACAAAAACCAGTGACTTTTTATGCATGAAGGAAAGCATAACTGCATCAAAGTGAACATACGGTTAAGGAATTCTAATAAAAATGGGGTTTTCTCACTCAATTTAAATTCATATATACAAAACCACTAACCAAATCTCTACTACTAAATACAGTCGGATCAGTTTTAAAGATTCTATTGTAATCTTCCCATACCTTTTTTTGGACAACCTTGCATTTTTCCGCTGATTTCAACAGCACTACTCCGCTGTTATCCATGAATTGTGCAGCATTGCTATTCAGAACGAATTTTTTACCACATTATCCTTGGGTATTTTTCAAATAATTTCCTCAAAAATTTATAACATAATATAATAAAACAATAAATATTAGTTACTGAAAATTTTTAAACAATAAACTTGTCATGGAGGGTAAAAAAAAAATATTCAAACAAATCTACTCACCGCGCTAGAAACAAGGTTGGGTTCGAACAAAGTTACCATATCACATCAAAACAGGTCTTGGCAATACATCACCACCAATGTTTCACTGATAAAATGAATGGCAAGTTGCAAAAAAAATTTAAACATATAAGACACTTTATGCTGTCCCAAAAAAAAAAAAAAAAAAAAAATTATAATAATAAAATGAAACTAGAAGTGTCAAAATAATTTTAACACTTTCTAATCTTCATGGCTAGTAGCTGCAACATAACTTAACAATTTGCTCTGGTCTTTTTTGAGCCGAATATTTTTACCATCTTGAATGGCCCAAGGAGAGAAGGAATATGGTCCGGGCTTTAATATCTTAGTGCCTCTTCCATACTTTTTAATATTTTCAGCAACTTTAGAGTCTGATATTGTAATTGCATATTGGGATGGTGTACCACTTCGCTCAAATTCTGTGTTGGGAGGGGATTCTGTTACTCTTTCATGTACGGGAAATGTCACACCAGGGATTGTCGCGACTGATACCTGAGTTATGATTAGAGGGATTTAGGAATTTGTATGAAAAAACAGTAGGTTTGAATGAAAAAACCTTCTATTCTCACTCAAATACAATTAAAGATATGAGTGTGTGCATAAAATGTAAGCATTGCCATGCTGGTCTCCTACATCGAAATTGAAAGTAAAATTAAGGGCGGGCTAGAAATGCACTCTCACAACTCATTAAGAAGCCAAAAGAGTACAAACTTACCACGCTGCTCTCCTACGTATAATAGATTTTACTCTTATTATACAAGTATTGGTAAATACAAAACTCGAGTTAAAAATAAGAAAAATTATGTACCATCTCAAAGAATGTTATTACATAAATTTTCATTAATAATTACCTTCACATAAAGCTTGCATTTGACTTCATGTATTACCTTAATACCCTCCTCTTCAATCTTTTTTATAGATGGGCTGCTACGTCGTTCCCCCATCATCTTCTGATAATCCAAGAGAATATAAGTAAAAGAAAAATAAATACACAAGTAAACAACAGTCGCCCATTGCAGACAATTTTTTCTTATCATTGAAATATTTTACCTAAATTTTCTAAATCAGTTCAAATCTGAATAAGTTGTCAAAACATTCCGGCTTTCAGAATTCTATGAATGTAAGGACAAATGAATAGTCTTATAAATGTGAGGAAAAAGAAATAGTCTTATAAAATGTGAGGAAAACGGAATGGTTATTTCACTAAAGCGAAGTAAACTTTTAATGGTCTACATGCCACGAACAAGCATGGAGGACCACCATAAGTTTCACATTAAACTAAAAGCACAATCCTTTTGTAAAAAGGCACCCTCTCGTTGAAAAAAAAGAAGGAACTATCAGATAATGAAATTAAAGTATAATAACATTAATCCAAGCCTGTAAGGAATATAAGAATCTATGGGGGCATATAACTCAATTCCTTCATTTACATCACAAACCCTATTTCTCATTAAAAAACTAAGAGAATTTTTTTTAAGAACCCATAAAATCAAATATTGGATTTATTTTCTTTCATCAGTTTTACAACCAAGATCTACAAATAGGCAACAAACTAACAACCAAGGTCCAAGAGGTTACCACCCTAACAACATAGTAATTCAACAGCAAAAAAAAGAAAAAAATTAAATAGACCAACGACCAGCATTAGGTCCACGGAAAGATTTTTCAACCCCATGTTCTATTCAGACAAACAAGTTTCCTGCTATATGTTAATTGTGTGTGTGTGTGTGTGTTTTTTTTTTTTTTTTTTTCATTGAATAATTTATAGCAATTTCTAGACAAAAGAATTTAGAAGTTAATTTCTACCTCAATTCCTTTTTTTTTTTTTTTTCTCCTTAATTCTGAGTGATTCCTAAACTTGATTCGTTCATAAGGAGGCTTGTGCCCTACAATTAAGACTAGTAAGTTCAAAAACTACTTTCACTTGTTAATGGATGGAATCCAACTACTTGAAAGTGATATATACTAATGTTGTATATTAGGTTTAGTGGGGTCAGACCCTTTTTTTGTCCAATTAATACACACAGAACAAATAAGGTAATTAACAATAAAAAGAAATTAATGCTTCAGAAATCAAAAGGAAAAGCCATGAATGATGAAAGTGCAATATTGCTTCACTTGTAAAAGAGAACAACATCTGAGAAAAAGTTTTTTTTATGTGCGTTCAAACAGACCATAAAAGGTCTTTTACTAACTTGCATAAAAATACAGAAAAGAAGATAAACGTATCTATATATATATATATATATATATATGGCATTTCAAACGAAAAAGAAAAAATTACACCCAAATGACTCTCTCTCACACACAACACACAACACACCTAATTTTCTTACTACACTTATATTGGAGTGCTTTCAACATCCCACGAGTCTTACACCCTGTATCTCCATAAATTTGGTTGAAATATCTGTTCGAATTAGAGTTTCTGATTGGAGAGTTGATTTGAGAGGGTTTCGATCTTTTTCTTTGTTGGTTTCATACGGCTTCAAGATTGGGAACAAAATACAATAGATTGAAGCTTACTCTCTCTCTCTAAACGAAACCCTAAAACCACTCACAAGACAAATTTTGATACAAATCATACCTTCTGGGTTTCATACGACTTCAACATTGGAAACAAATTCCTCAGGATCGAAGGATTCTTCAGTTCATCCACCGGCAGCTTCAAATTCGGAATTGTCTTCTTCAGTTCATCCGGAATCAGTATCCCTGTGTAGCAAAGACGAGAAAAATACAAATATTGCACTTTCTCTATATACACTCTTGTAATTGTAGCAAAGACGAGAAAAATACAAATAGTGCACTTTCTCTATATACACTCTTGTAATACATATTTGGTAAAAAAACGATTTACTCTGTTTTTGTCTTTTAGGACTAGCTGACGTGGCAACATCAAGTCCGCACATCACGCACCAGCTGCAACAGATTTACTATTGCGCCGGAGACGATTTTGATCCCTCTCTCCCCTCAGCCAGTCTAGAATTTCAAATACAATATCAGCATCTACCTAGACTAGAGAAGTTTAAAGCAAAAACTATGGAATATAAAAGAAGCATATATATACTTTATTCACCTACTATTTTACTTATTGTGTCTCGTCGGTCTCATTACAGTGACATGGAATTGTCTCCTTATTTATTACCAGCATTTATTGGTATTAGCCTCATGGGTCTACTTCACCACAACTGTTGATGTAGAATGGACCTACATGATTAAGGTTGTGAAGTCTGATACCACTCGCATTATTTCGGACCAGTTTAATTTTTGCAGATTGAAAGTGAGACTATCGCATTATTTTGTATCAATCCAACTTTTGAGGGATATTCACTGAAAGCATAATTGCAGTTATTAGACCGGTTCAACTTCTGCAGTTTAAAAGTGACACCATTGCACTATTTTGAATCAGTCCAACGTTTGCAGGATATTCACAAAAAGCATAATTACAAAAGTCGCACCAGACAATTTCGGACCAATCCGACTATCCTAATTTGATTTGGGTAGAAATTAGTTTCTTTTGTCTTCTCTAGAAGGCTAGAACCGTGAGACAAGTTGGGTCTCTCTATGTAAGTTTTGTACCAACTCTAGGTGTGGAGATGACTGTGAGAGATTATTATGCTGCCACTAGGTTAATTTTGTACCAAATCTAAGTGCGGAGAAAAGCGTTACATTAATTATTGTAATCATTCATATTTTTCATAGTGAATTTGTTTGGTAGATATAACTCTAGTTTTAGATGAATCACGTATATTTTATGTTGATTGTGTGTGATTGTTTTTATTCTTCATAAATGTTGGTGTGTTTTACTATTTGGTCATAATTGTTTATTCGTTACGCGTCAATAATTGATATCAGAGCATGCGATTAATGAACCAACGCACACTTTGATATCCCACTACCGCATTGATCATACACATGGATCATGGGTCCTTTAATTGGCAAATCTTACAATGGATTACAGTTTCCTCAATACTTGGACTTGCATGGTACTCAAAGTAGAAAATTCGATTCTCGTGTGTTCTTAACATTAATGGAAATTACGTACATTGTTTTAAAACTCAGCCTATCTGTCATCTGTTCATTAACTTTTCTATTTTGACTGGTTTTTCCTGCAAGTGCATGGTGTGTCTGCAAATATATGATATATTTTTTTATAAGTATATGATATATTTGTTCTGAAATGCGTCTTTTATTTTATTGGATTTATTTGCAAGGCTAGATCTCAACAGCTCATTTAAGAGTTGGATGTCCATAAATATGGGTCTAGATTTTTCTGAAAATAACTCACAATCTTTTTGGATAGAGTTGAAAATTTCACATTTCGTTTCAAGAGAAATGAAATTAGCCTTCTGACATGTCATCGACTCGTTTGTCCTGAATTTTGGCATTATCCAAAATTTTGCAGAACCTTTCTGTTGGGAATATTTTAATAAAAATATAATTATATTGTATTAATTATGGTTTAATGGGATTTTATTCCACTAATTAAATTATACTTATAGTGTATATTATTTCTATCATTATTATACCTTAGTGGTTACATATTTTATTCCCTGTATATACTCTATGTATAAAACATCTATAGAAAAACTTTTGAGTATATGGCAAGATCATAGAGTAGTGACACTTTTGTAAGGGTTGTGAGCCTATTCTATTTTTTTTCTTTGAGAGTTATTTGAATATTGAGTTTATGAGCAACTAGACTTATATAGACTTAGACCTAGTCTTCCTGTGGTCGTGCACATGGAGGAGATGTCGCTGCGAGCTGATTGGATTGTATCTCGGAGTTGACTAGTTTCACCAATACTCCCACAAAGGGGAGGACTATCAACTTTAGGTCAATGTGTTTACACATACCTCAACAATCAGGTCAGCTCTTTCTTACCTATTTTATTATTGTCGTTTTTCATTCTTAATTTCTATTATTATTATTATATTAATTTTTATTGCAGAATATTTATCTTGTGAAATCCTTGTTCATCATTATATTCAATTGTTCAATTGATGTATTATTCAGTTTAATGAAAGTATTTTATTTGATAATTCATTGGTGTGATTGTTCATTATCTTTAATCATTGTGTATAAATATTGTACTTTATATATTTCTATAAATATATGGAATTTTCCCCAACACTTTCTATAAATTTTGTATTTGATTTGATTTTTGTGGGGGCTCTGTTTATTTCATATCATTTCTACAACTAATTATCATTTGTGGGCTTAAAGATTATAAACTGATTTTTAGTATAAATTTTGGGATTTATTACTGTTAATCTATTTCTTTCTCAAACTTTTTTGTATTTTTTGTTGTTCTATTTTTTTTTTTTTTTTTTTATTTTTATTTTTTGTTCCAGATCTGTTATAACAACAGATCTTAGATACGAAGTACCAAAAACAGATCTTAGATGTGAATTTTTTTTTAATTTTTTGTTCCAGATCTATTAGAAAAACAGATCTTAGATGCGAAGTACCAAAAACAGATCTTAGATGTGATTTTGCTCGGCTCGATGCGAAGTACATAGATTTTAGAGCAACAGATTTTTTGTTCCAAATCTTAGAACAACAGATTTTTTGTACCAAAAAATAGATCTTAGAAAAACATATTTTTTGTTCCAGATCTGTTAGAACAACAGATCTTAGATAAGAAGTACAAAAAAATAAAAAATAAAAAATAGAAAAAAAATAAACGAGCAAACTAGCTCTTGGCTCGAAGCTCGTCAAACAGAGCCAAGCCGAGTTCGAACTAAATTTTCTAGGCTCGACTCGAACTCGAGCCGAGCTTGAGCAGCCTATTATGTTGATTGAGCCGAGCTCGAGTATACCATTACTCGGCTCGGCTCGGTTCATTTACAGCCCTATCTGCTTCTCTGCTTGTCTGTTGAAATTGTCTTGCCTTCTATTTTGTTCTCTTTTGAAGAGAGTTCTACACTTCTGGTCTCTCAGCTTTTCTAGGGTTCCCATGTTGTGAATGTTCAAAGAAACTATTTAATTTTTATTATATCTCAATGCTTTTGTTTTTAATATATATTTTCAGTAATTTCTTTCCTGATTCTACTAATTTTTTCTTCTTCTTATTTGTGTATTTTTTACATGAATCAAAGCTTGTTTTATTCATTTTTTTTTTGCTGTCTAACAACTCTTTATATCATAAAGACTTATTATATTCATTTTTTTTTTTTTTTTGCAGTCGAGTCCTTTGATTTCCTTATTTATTTATTTTTCCCCATTTTTCTTTTGGCAATTAAAGTTCAATTAAGCAAAAAATATGTACAATATCAAAGGGCCATGAAAGAAACGGGAAACGGGTCTGCAAACAGATCAATATGGTATACTTAAGCCATATGCAATTATCCAAAGGCCTCTAAAGGTTGAGTCTCTTCGGGACAAATGGGTAAAGAACCCTATATATTATTATGGCAATTCGTGTTGGCGTGTCGTGTTCTTGTTGACATGATTATGACACGAACATGAACACGATTAGGGTCGACACGCACACGACACTATTAGTAATCATGTCTAAGACCTTTGACTTGAACACGACACGATTATTACACGTGTAATACGGATCAAGACTTGACATGACAAGACACGAAAAAAACATGTTCAAGTCATTTTTGACACGAAACACGTTTAGCTAAATCAATCATTTTTTATACGAACACGTTACGTTTAGTTAATCGGGTTAATTATATTTATATGGTCAAATACATACATGACACCTCTAGTTAATGGGTAAATTCATGTTGACACGATTACGACACGAACATGATTAGTCCAAATCCAAACTCTCTTATCTCGTGTTAGTGTGTTATGTCAAATATTGCCATCCCTATTATATATAACTAGTACTATAATGCTACGTTTGGTGTGCAGGAATGAAATGAAATGCAAGTGGGAATGGTCCAACCAACTACTAAAATAATTATTATCATTCCATTCCTACACATTTTATATTTAAATATGAAATGTGTAAAAATGTAAAAATGGAATGATAATAATTATTTTAGCATTTGGTTGGACCAATTTAAAATTTAGAATGGAATAAATTTTAAATTGAGTTTTCCAAAATATCCCTTAGTAACAAATAAATTAAATTAACAAAATGTCATTCTTCTATAATTTTTAAAAAATAAATGGTGGCAGTGATGGTGGAAAGTGATAGTGGTGTTGGAAGGCGGCGGTGGTGGAAGGTGGTGGCGGGTGTTGGTGGAAGGCGATGGTGATGGCGGTGGTGGAAGGCAATGGTGTTGGTGGAAGGCGGTAGCAGTGGTGAAAAGTGGTGGTGGTGGAAGGTGGCGGCGGGGGAGAAAGGCGATGGAAGGTAGCAGTGGCGTAAGGTGGTGGCCATGGTGAAAGGCGGCGGTGGTGGAGGAAAACGGTGGGCAGCGGTGGAAGTTGATGGTGGTGGTGGTGAAAGGCAGAGGTGGTTGTGGTGGAAAGTAGTACTGGTTTTTGGACTTGGAACATAAGTGTTTTTTGAGAAGTTGATTTTTTTAAAAAATTTTACTTACGGTATGGAATGGTTATTCCATACGTTTAGTCGTGGAATAAATTTTCATTTCAATGGAATGACCATTATCACTTTAAATTGCATATCAAACAAGGAAATGGTTGAAATAAATATTTCATTTTATTCCTAGACACCAAAATAGCATAAGAGTAAAAATATCAAATTATTCAAAACTAGGACCATTAAGAGCAGAAATATTAAATTTTACAAGCGAGAAATGTTTTATGTTATAAATGCTTACTTTATTATGAAAGAACTAATGTATTTCAAATTTTCAGTAAGACCTTGCTTGTGATCTCGTTTGATCAAGCTAGTAAATTTTGAGAATGAGTTGGAGAAAGGCTTAGCATGTGCCTAATGTCAGTTGAGTAAAATCCATGTCCTATTTTAATTCAATTATCCGAAATCATATTTTGATTACAAATTCTTTTTATAAATACTTACACTGCACTCACTTTGCTCCTATAAAGATTAGACCACCAATTATAGAAGGCAAGAAGTACAAGGCTAGGGTCTCACTCTTAGCGGA